AATATTAGGTGGAGGGTCATATTGGTGGGTGGTCATATTGTTATGGCTGGTTGGTGTATATACCACTGAAGCTTTCAAACAAATCAATAAAAGGTGCTTGTTCTCTTATGTGTCAGTGCACAATCACAGACCAAACCTATACAAAGTGTTTAGTGCAACTGAAGTGTCCTAAGAAATTCACCTTCTAAATCTGAATGACAAAATGTAAAGTGCTTATGTCCCTGTGACTCCACTCTTCTGCTGCATTCCTCCTCCTAGGTATAAACACCCCAAATGAGTAGACCCTTTACATTGATAAGAAGGTCATACACACTTTTCTCCCTTTTTCACATCCTACACACGTTTGCACAAGGGAGCATAAAAAAGGCTTTAGGCCCCATGTCTGCTCAGTTCCTTGGAATGTCTTTTTCCTTGGACAGAGAAAAGCTGTTTATAAAAGGCACCCAAATCCACATTTAGCAAATGTATTTAGACACATTAAGGTGCATCATATTTGATGGTATTTGACACCTTGTACAATACCTACATTTTCCATTCCTGGCAATAACTTGTGCTGGAGGGGATGTGACCAGATAAGTTCATTACTACATATGTTAGTCAGTTGGTCATACCAATTCTTAGATGTGATGGCTGCATTAGTCTTTTATTTTAGGCTCCCTTTCCTTTATTTTTATCTGGTGATCCAGCCAGTAAGTTTGTTGTTCAACAAAACAAACTCTCCTGCAAATGTAACAGAGCAGTGATCTCCAAACTGCGGCCCTTTACTTGCATTTATCTGGCCCTTGGGGCAGTATTCCTCCTACTGACACCAATGACTAGGCATCATTTCTTCTACTGATACCAATAGGGTATAATTCCTCCTACAGATACCAACAACGGGCACTATTCCTCTTACTGACACCAATGATGAGGTACTATTCCTTTCAATGACACCAACAATAGAGCATTATTTCTCACCCACCCAAACGAAGGGGCACTATTGCTCTTCCTACTGACCAAACAGATGTTCTTTTTAACCCCCATTGACTCGTGGTTATTTTCTACTCCCAGTGGCCACAGTCCGGCCCCCGTAAAGTCTGAAGGCCAGTAAACTGACCTTTGTGTAGAGAGTTTGGAGACCCCTGAGTTAGATTGTTGAGACAAGCCATTTACAACTGACAGGGGTGCTTACAATGATCAGCTTTTATTTATGTAAACCCTTTATTAAAAAAAAAAAAGAAAGTTGCTGTATCTGCAGTGTAAGCCAGCACTTGGCTTAAGTTTGATAGTATATCTAAATCTGCTAGTACCTCTAACTCTCCCCTCCCCCCAGACTTACAATGCTGCTGTGGAAAGGTGCACTCTGTGCTCCTTCATCCAGAGTGGGGACGCTCTAATACAGGAGGTCTCCAAGTGAAAACAAAGGGGATAAAGCATAGTAAAAGAAAACTAATGCAGCCACCACATCTAAGGATTGGTAAGCTGCAGTGTAATTACATTTTGGTTTCGGGTTTAAAGCGGTTGTAAACCTATTTTTTTTCCTAACTTACAAAAAATATATACTTAACTGCTCCGTGCAATGATTTTGCACTCAGCACCCTGAACGTTCTCTTCTGGGGTGCCCTGCCAGCGCTCTCCACTCCTCCTCTCTGAGTGCCCCATAGCAAGCCACTTGCTATGAGGGCACTCTTGTGAGCACACTCCTGAGCTGGGCTGCGTGCATCCATTGACACAAGCAGCACAGTCCAGCCCTGCCCCCACCCCCTCCTCACAGGATTTGATTGACAGTAGCTGGAGCCAGGAAGAGGGAGAAAAAGCTACCAATAGGTGGGACAGTGCTGGACCGAGAGAAGACTCAGGTAATTGTTGAGGGGGGCGGCTGGTAGAAGCTTCTATTGAAAAGTATTTTACCTTTATTAATTAACTGCTTGCCCGCCGCCCTATAATAGAACAACTACTACAGGGTGGCAGGGCTGCGCAAAATCACTTTCCGGGTAGGGGGCGCGCCGCCCCTACCCACGCCGCCATTGGTGGCTACAGATGTCGATCACTGGGTCCCCACCTACACCCAGCTATCACTTAGGAACACTGACAGGGGAGAGACCTGTGTGTAAACAACAGAGGTCTCTCTCCTGCCAGCAGTAACATGCTGCTGTGTATTTCTCTGCACAGCAGAGAAATACACAGTAGCATGTTTATATAGTAAAACACACACAGCACACAGTTAACCCTTTGATTGCCCCAGATGTTAACCCCTTCTTGCCCAGTGTCATTAGTACAGTGTCAGTGCTTTTTATTATCAATGATCACTGCATTAGTGTCATTGGGATGTCAGTGGCAGTTAGTTCCCACCCAGTGTCAGAATGTCTGCCACAGTCCCGCTATAAGTCGCTGATCGCCGCCATTTCCAAAAATAAAATTAACAAAAAAATTCCAGTAAATGTACGGCCTTTTGTAAACGCTATAACTTTCAAGTAAACCAATTAATTTACATGTATTGGGATTTTTTTTTAGCAAAGACATGCAGCAGAATACATTTTGTCCTAAATTTATGCCGAAATTAGATTTTTTAAATTTTTTTGCTGGATATGTTTAATAGCAAAAAGTCAAAATATTGTTCTTTTTTTTTCAAAAATGTCAGTCTTTTTTGTTTATAGCGCAAAAAAAAAGGCAGAGGTGATCAAATACCACAGAAAGAAAACTCTATTTGTGGGACATAAAAACAGGACATACATTTCATTTGGGTGGAGCGTTGCATGACCGTGCAACACAGCCCCGTATCGCAAAAAATGGCCTGGTCAGGAAGGTGGGGTAAATTCTCTGGAGGGCAAATGGTTAAGGTAAAAAACCTTTTGTCTATAGAACCACTAATACCACTTTGTCAAATACAAAAACAGTGAGGCAAGAGTTGTAATGTGCCGTCACTTTAGACCAGGGGTAGGCAACCTGTGGCTCTCTAGCTGTTGTGGAACACATTTCCCATGAGGCATTGCAACGTTACAATACTGAGTTACTGCTATGACTTACAGAGGCATGATGGAACTTCTAGTCCTGTAACAGCTGGAGAGCCGCAGGTTGCCTACCTCTGCTTTAGACAGACCAAAAAGTGCTGCAGCTAGGAAACCTTAAATGTTATCCAGTAAAGTGCTCAATCAAACAAGTGCAAACACTCCTTGTGACTAATGAAAATAACATGATGTTCTGGTAATACACACAGATCAGCCATCACATTATGACAACTGACAGGTAAAGTGAATAACACTGATTATCTCATGACAGTGGCACCTGTAAGTGGGTGAGATACTGGCACTAAGCTGACATAGGGGTTTCATTTACTTGGCTGCACGATATGTTGTAAAAGTCACAAAACTGGCCAAATGCTTTGGCAGGTAAACCAGTATTAAGCTGTTGATCTGGATGTTTGCTTAAAAAGGTTATCAATCACAAGCTTTATAATTTTATGTTTCATTTTTTAAAAGATATTTTACTAATATTTTATTTACTGGTACTGTGCCTCCCGATTAGCAACACAGTACAATGGGTGTGCATTATCCTTCCTTTCCATTGAAAATCTGTAGACAGCTCTGTCAGTAGAATTTCTTTGAATTTCTTTGAAGTCTGGTGTTTCTTTTGAAGCTCCTTCAGACTTCTTGATTATTCTTGTTTTTTTCTTAAAACTTCTATAACTCAGATTGTGCTGTAAAATGTCTGGTGCAATCCTGTGCAATAAGTAAAATGAATGAGAGACCTGCAAATACATTTGAGAAACCACTGAAACTGTGTTAGTGCAATGAATTCACCTTAAAGCGGAGTTCCACTCAAACTGTCAAAAAATAAAAGTCAGCAGCTATGAAAACTGTAGCTGCTGACTTTTAAAAAAACAGCCACTTACCTGTCCCTCGGTCCCGTGGTGTGTCCCCCGCAGCCCCTTTCACCGGCCGTCCTGTATTCCAGGAGGCCGGCATCTTCAGTATGGGCACCCGGCTGTGATAGCTTGCGGCTTCACAGCCGGGTACCCACTGCGCTGCACAAGTAGCGCTGCGCTTCATGAATGGTCCTGTAGTCTTCTGGGACCTGTCACGTATCCCAAAAGACTACAGGGAGGGAGAACACCTTCCGCTTCCAATCGCCTAGGTGATTGGACCAGAAGTGGGAGCAGGTACCTATCAAATTCAGGTACCTGCTCCCCCCCACACCCCCAAAGGTGCCAATCCTTAATGGGGAGCGGGGGAGCAGTCCTTAAAGCGGAACTTCCCCTTTTGGGTGGAGCTCCACTTTAAAGTCAACGTGTGCTTTGCCAAAGCAGGGAAAATCAACACTATTATTCAAATGTCGCCATTCCCACTGGCACATACATATGCCTTTCTCTCCCCCACCATTTCTTTCCGCCCCCAAGAGAGAGGACAGTAATTCTAGAGTATTTTAAAGTGATTCTAAAGGTTGTAATTAAAAAAAAAAATAACAAGCATGCTATACTTTCCTGCTTCATGTAATGGTTTTCCACAGAGCAGGCCTGATACTCTTCTTTTTGGGTCCTCTTCCGGTGGTCCAGGCTCCTCCCCCCCAGCCAATAGCAAGCCTCTTTCTATGGGGGCACTTGAGCAGGCTCACTCCTGAGCTGCACTCCTGTGAATGGACATTGTTCATTCAGACACAGAGCACAGCTTGGCTCTGCCCCCACTATCTTCTCATTGGCTCACTGGCTGTGATTAACTACTGCCCATGTGAGCCAATGAGAAGAGAGAGAGACCCGAGCAAGCCGCAGCTCTCATACACATTGCTGGATCGAAATGGGACTCAGGTAAGTATAAGAGGGGGGGAAGCTAAAGGAGGAGCTGCACCCAGAAAGTTTTTTACATTAATGCATAGAGTGCATTAAAGCAAAAAACCTTCTTCCTTTAGAACCACTTTAACTGCCTCCCGCTCACCATATAGTACAATGACGGGCGCAAGGCGGTTCTCTCGTTCTGGGAGCACGTCATATGACGTCCTCCCATTCTAACCGCGCATCCGCGGCTCCGGGAGCGCGCAGCGATCGGAGGTGCGCTGTGTCCCTCGGACTCAGCGGAGCACCGACCAACGGAAAGAGCCGAAGATGTTGGCTCGGTCATGTGATCAGCTGTGTCCTATCACAGCTGGTCACATGTAAACAGGGAAATGCCGGTTATCGGCAATTCTCTCCTCACGGGCTGTCACGCTGACAGCTCGAGAAGAGAGGAGAGTCGGTAATCAGCATTCCGCGGAGGGGACATGTACACTGATCATCAGAGCACTGATGATCAGTGTACCCTGATGATCTGTGTAGCCCCAGCAGTGCCACCTGTCAGTGTTCATCCACGCCACCTGCCAGTGCCACATCAGTGCCACATTTCAGCGCCTACCAGTGCACATCAATGCCACATATCAGTGCCCACCTGAGTTGCCTTTCAGTGTCACCCATCAGTGCCAGTCAGTGCCACCTATCAATGCCAGTCATTGCCACATACCAGTGCTGCCAATCAGTGCCACCTATCAGTGCCAGTCAGTGTCGCCTATCAGCGCCAGTCAGTGCCGCCTATCAGTGTGCATCAGTGCCGCCTATCAGTGCCCGTCAGTGCTGTCTATCAGTGCCGCCTAACAGTGCCAGCCAGTGCCACCTAACAGTGCCAGTCAGTGCCGCCTATCAGTGCCAGTCAGTGCCGCCTATCATTGCCATATATAAGTGCTGCCTTTCAGTGCCCATCAGTGATGCCTGTCAATGCCCATCAGTGCCACCTACCAGTGCCACCTACCAGTGCCTCCTCATCAGTGCCCATCAGTGCCACCTAAAAGTGTCCATCAGTGCAGCCTATCAGTGCCCATCACTACAGCTTCATTAGCGCGCATCGTTGAAGGAGAAAAATTGCTTATTTACAAATTTTATAACAAAAACTAAGAAAAAACTTTTTTTTTTCAGAATTTTCTGTGGTTTTTGGTTTGTTTAAGGAAAACTAAAAAACCCAGAGGTGATTAAATACCACCAAAATAAAGCTCTATGTGTCACAAAAAAATTATAAAAATTTCATATGGGTACAGTGTTGCATGACTGCTCAATTGTCATTCAAAGTGTGACAGCGCTGAAAGCTGGAAATTGGCCTGGGCAGGAAGGGGGTATAAGTGCCCTGTATGCTAGTGGTTAAAGTTTGCAAAGGGCAGTCCACCTGACCCCATGTGGAAGCCCTGCAAAGCACCAAGCACCAGCACTTTCACATGGGAGAAAGGTGAGTCCAATGGTATCCAGATGTTCCATGTATTTTCTCTTAGCCGGCTACTGAACCCTACCACCCCTGCTGAGTAGCAGGGGTGGTAGTAGGTGCTGCTGGGGAGTCCAACTTCTGGACACTAGGGAAGTATATGGGGAGCTGCTGCACAGTTCTCTCATTTGTCTATTTATCAGTCACAATAAAAGCCATTTGAATAGTGACTTCTCTATCCTATAAAACGGTTTTTGCTACCTTTAAATGATTAATGGTTTAGCACTTTTTGCAAAGCTATATTATTTTATATAGTGTGCAAGTGAGAAATAAGTATACTTTGTCCATTCTCAGAACATAACACTCTAAAGTGACCATTTTGATCCTTTTACCAGTAGAGCTCCTGGGTTTGTAGTGTTCCCTTTACATTTGGTGTATAGAGAATTTATAACTTTTCAACAACATTCTGCAGAATAAACCTCTTTAAATACACAATACTAAAAAATAGGTGGAATTCACCTCCCAGCAGGAATTCAAACACCAGTTTATTTGAAGTGAAATCCTCTTAGCAGGTGATAAATTCACTCCACAATCCATTTCAAGTCCGATCATCTCCCTAATATTGCAAAAGGCATGAAAACTGTCTACTGGACAAATGGGGAGCTACGCAGTTGTGAATAGCCATGCATCACAATGATAAGTGGTGTTCATGATTTTTACATTGGGGAGAAGATTGCAAAACATAAGCAGAAAAGCTTTTCTTTTCTCTGTGTGCAATAAACATAATCCCTTGTCTGTGCATTACATGCTTATAAAAACTTTATTTTTCATAACATAGCACCCACTGCTTTGTATAATATGTAAGAGGGACATTTTGCGCCAGATGACAATGGCTAATAGCAATTTGTTGTGATATACAGTGCTGTATTTAGAACTAAACACCGGCAACAAAGATTTTCATTTAAATATATTCTTCATGTAAGAAATTACATTGCCCAATAAAATAAATATTTGTAGGCAGTATATTAAATTAATATGTATAAATACCATCAAACTCTGCGCTGGTTCAGAAAGATCATAAGCTGCCAACACTAAATTCTGATACAAAGAATTTGCAAGACATACAAATAAAAGTGTAGCACTAAAAGTATAAATCAACAATAATGATACAATCCTAGCTGAACATCCGTGAAGCTAGATGTGACATTGCTTCCAATACAATAAAAATAATATAAAGTGAACCATAAAAGTGAGTCCCAATTCCCCAAAAAATTGGAACATATGAAAAGTGTAAAACGTGAATCCTCAATTGCTAGACAGTCAAACGTTATCCACGTGACACACGTATCACCCTACTCCGTGCTCAAAGAAGGCTTACCAGATGTATTTGACCATCATGTTATACTGTAGAATGGTCAAAATTAGCTAAGAATAATCATTAAGCAACCATTCTAGCCTCCTCCATAGCATCCAAATGTGGTTCAAAATAGCATTCGCCCACTCCGTATTGACCGTCAATGCATACTTGTCCAGGCGTAAAAGTGGCACGTGCATGAAACAAGAAAGCTTCCCATAGTGTAAAATCATTTAAAAGATTTATTAAGCCAAAGAAATGCACTTATATGCTTCAAAATCAAATACAGCATTGTGTATCTAGAAACATCCACGTATTTCCACTTCCAAAATGGCCGCAAGTGTACACGTATGCGTGGTGATGTATGTCCAAGCTCCACTCAGTGAGTGTATATTTATATAGGATTAAGATGACTTATGGGCAAAAGTATGGCTGTATGTATGCATGCCATGAATTGGTGTAATATGTACAAGCCAATGCTCTCGTCAGTGGTTTTCCAGGTTTCACTGTTGGTGCCTTCATTAGTGTAGCACCATCCTAGTTTAGCTAGAGGGAGCTAGACCCTAATGGCTAGTGAGGAGCTGTTTAGCAGCTCAAGTGAGATAGTCAGAGGGTTCAAATTCTGGTCAGGACTGAGAGACTCTGCAGGCCAGTCCCTCTTGAATTTCCCCCTGCTCTGAGGCTTTCAGAGGGGGGCCTTGGAGGCAGTAGGTGGATCTGAGGAGTGGTTAGCTGCACTTTTGAGGGACCTAAGCCAATCCCAACAGAAAGCTTGGCAAGGGGCGAGACTCCCTTAAAAGTATTGGAGCCTGCTCAGTAGCAGGAATGTGGTGGTGGAAGAGGCGTGAGAAGCAGGAAGATGTGAAGCTGGAGGAGGAAGGCTGCCAGGAGGATTAGCGGATGGGGCCTGCCTGCTAGCCTGGAGCTTGAAAGGAAGAAAACTCAGGACTCACTGGCCCCCTGCGAGAGGACCACCTGTATGGCAGGGAAGGAGCAGCCCAGCTGGTAACAGCAGCCATCCCACAAGCGCTACAGGAGAGGATCTGAGTGAGTACACCTGCACCCCCTGGGCAGATAGTGGAAGGAGCACTCTGGTGGTAAACCAGATTAGCTCTCTGCTAGTGACTCTACATCTTACTTAAAGGTACAGGAGCCAGATCCCCTGCTCAAGAAGAAAGTCTCCAGATTGCTGGGTGAAGAGGAGTTCATTTAGGGTCTGGGGTAGTACAACTGGAGCTGCTGGCTTGCACTCCAACAGAGACTGTGTCAGAGGAGAGAAGCTGTGAATAGTTCAGGAAGTTGTCCTAAGATTTCAATTCCCTTGGGCATCCTATACAACCTTTACCCCAGCCAAGTTTAATCCTATCAATAAAACAACAAAACCAATGCTCAAGGCCTGATTTCTGAATACGAATGGAAGCTTGTGTGTAAAATGCTGACTGACTGGCTGTGCAGGACTTTAGGGGAACCCAAATTCATCAGCAATCCCTAAGGGGGAAGGGGGTAGTGCTACATTAGTATGCTAAAGTCAAATGTCGTACATTCTAATTAAGATTGACCCTTTGTCCTCCAGGGGAACATGAATGGATAGTAATGTCTTCATGGAGTCATATGGCTTTATTATGCTATGTGCCCAGCTGATGTCCAAAAGGTCCAGGTATGACAACAGATAGATACAACTTAACAAACATATAATTGCAAGAGATGCCACAACGCCAAATAGGGAGAGATTTGAATTAATATTGGATAGTCATTACATCAATGGGGATTGAATTATAAACCAATCACTTTCATAAGAAAGATATGATTTTTTGTGATGAGGTTATGTTGTGGACCAATCAGAGGTACCACAATGATAGTGTGTGGGCGGAACTTAAGTTGCCCTAGCAGGGACACTGTGGAACTGCACTCGCTAATGTCTGCAATACAGGCATACGCCACTGTCATGTGAAACCATATTAAGGTGGTACTCCAGACTTAGAAGTAAACAAAGCACTTACACAGTTAAACACTTTGTAATCTGTGGCCTTACACCATGAGACACTAGGTGGCAATTTGAAATGTGTTTAAAAACCCAGGTCTCTGTATTGATAACCCAGAAGAAGGTTGGACATGGTGGAGAGAGCGAGGTCTACCAACTGATAGAATGAAATGGTCTTTGAATACTGAGGTAAGCTATATGTATGGGGAGGTTTGGATGAATAGGGTATTTCTATGTTGTGGTTCTTTGGAAGTAATGAGTGGTGATATGGTTTAGCATGATGACCTCTAAAATTGTATTGTTTTGCTATCTAAAACTTGGATCCCCCTTTGTTTTTCTCCGCTTGATAGTGGGCAGGTACATTTGGAATTTTTGTTTAGATGGTTGTTTGCCCTCTGCGTTTTTATATATGGGGGATATAGTTATAATGGAACAACAATATGTATGGTTGTTTTGGAAGGGGTGCTTGGGATGGTTGGAGGATATTTTTGAGGTGGGATAGTTAAGCGGAAGGAGCGGAAGGAGATGTAGGGAGAGTGTTGTAAGTGGAGGTTTTGAGTGGATGATATAGTGGTGTAGGTGTATTTATGTAGGGTGTAAACTATAGGTGTGTGATAGTGTGAATGATTAGGTTGTAATGTGTGAATGCCTGGATCTGGTGGTGGGGGATAGGAGGGAGGATGATGGAGAATATTAATATATAGGGGGCGAATATGGTTATATAATGAATGCTGTCGCTTATAGAAGAGGAGAACCATTTTAGAATTAGGTTATCTATTAGTCTCTACTATGATGAGCCTCATATAAAAAGCACATAACATTATCCAGGGCCATATACGAGGGGCAGTATAATGCCTTTATTTATTTTATATAGATTTGACTACTACCACATGGACGGCTTTGTTGTATGCACAGGATTCCTTTCCATCTATCTGTCTTTTAGATAAGGATGTGATGGGCAAATCACACTTGCTGATGGTGTAAGTTAAATTGCTTACTTTGCTTTTTTAATACAACTTATTCATTTATTTTACAACAGTGCGTGAGTATTTTCCTTGTGTGGCAGCTTAAAGACTCCCTGGCCAAGGTATTTTGGTG